AACAAGCCATTTATCATCAAGGAAGGAATCCATTTTTCAGTGAATGTAATTCTCAGGTAAACACACAATCTCTGTGCTTGAGATTGTACTCAGGGGGTAAACTAGGTCAATTCCCTGGGGAGCAGAGAGAGAAACGCAATCATCGGGCCTGGAGGCCGGAGGGCAAATGGAGTACATTGCAACTTCTCCAGAAGAGACCCCTCCCTGGGCACTGCCAAGTCTGCGGCGGGTCACCCTGCCCTGGATGCCCTTGCAGACACAGACATGCCCCCCCGCCCGCCAATCCCGCACTTACTGTTTCTCAGGCTGCACCACCGCGATCTTCCTCTGCTTCTGACCTGAAACAGAGCAGGATTAAGCCAGTCATCACCCTGGCTTCTGTGACTCGCGGGACCCCTCATGCATGTGTCTTCAGTCCATTCACGTTTATTTAGCTGGTGTTTCTGTCCAAAGCATCAAGCAAGCAAGGAGAGCTTGGTGTTCTGGGGAGCAGCTGCGATTAAGAGCCTTGCTCAAGGGCCCAATGGTGATGCGATTACTCTTTGGGATTCAAACCCATGACCTATAACTCTTTGGGATTCAAACCCACGACCTATTACCATTTGGGATTCAAATGCATGGCCTATTACTCTTTGGGATTCAACCCCATGACCTATTACTCTTCGGGATTCAAACCCATCACCTTCCGGTTACAGGCACAGGTCTCTGAATCCCTGAGCTACATGTCACCCAGCAGGGTTTCCTGATCATCTTAAAAAAAAAAAATCAGCAATCCAGTCATCTGCCAGGTGGCGTTCCCAGCCCTCATGGATGTAGATTACATTTAGATTTACATTTGATTACACAAGATGGCAGCCATTGTGACAAAACACCGTGTAATGTTTGTAACAATGCTTGTTTGTATGATTGTGTGCTTAATCGCATTAGTGCACGGGGATGCCAACAGGGTATGTGGGTAGGGAGGCAGAGTCAGTGGGGCCGCATGGGCGGGGGGTACGTACAGACGGGCTTGTGTGGGGGAGTCAGTTGGTAACCATTGGTCTCGCACCAGCCCAAGGGGAAGATGGCCATGGACTCCACATCCACAATGCAGTCTGGGAGCGACAGCGACAGTCCTGAAGGACACAGGGGACACGGGGTCATGACTGGGCCAGCGAGACCCTGCAGTGCACCCCCACTGCTCACTTCCGTAGAATCACACCCCAGCGACGTCTTTGCGGCTGCATATTGAGGCCTGTGTGACAGTCACTGATCGAGTCAACTATGAGACAAAACCGAGTGTTACAGTATGTACACTGATGGTTAATGATTCTGAGGTGGTATTTAATGAATGGGCCACCAAACAGGTGGGGCTGCGTTTATCCTAGCGGCTGCCTGCACAGACTGTGCGTTTCACCCACTGCGATGAGGCCTGGCTGATAAAATCAGCTCATGCAAAAACAAAACGGAATTAACTCAAGAAAAAAAAATTAACTCGGGAACTGATTCTGCAATGACGCACTCAGTGAGATTTCAATCCATAAGATATTATCCAAAAATTCCCCGTGGAGATTAATTAAAAAGGCAAAAAGTTAAACTATTATAATCGTATGATTTCTCTACAGCTATCATGCCATCATTATGCATTTAATGTTGGTTTTTTTTTGTCAAGCATAACTTTAGATGCATGAAAACACCCTCCATAGGTGAGAGAATGTTTGAAGTCCTCATTACTGTCTGTGTTATTGCATTTTTTTTTTAACCTAAAACATGATTTGATTTTATAAATTCTGAATTAATTAAATGCATAGAACACAAATTGCAGGTATTTAAAAGTTTTAACTTGTTTGTAGGACGTGAACAAGCAGGATAATCAGGTCTAGTAAGGGGGTAATTCAAATCAGGTGTTCCAGTCCATTAGATGGCGATCGGGTGCGAGTGTGATTGGCCCTTTGTTATAAACAGTGACTATGAAGCAGTACTGCCTGCTCTCTAGATACAGCTTGGAAGTCACTTCTAGCCCTCAAAGCGGTTTTGATGGTAATAACACTGGAAACATCTACAAAACCATTTCTATGATCATCATGACTGCACAGATAGCTTAGAAGTGATATAATGGTTTGCACATAATGAGTGAACAATACTTCTGGACGATATTAGGAACTTCTACTGAGAAATCTCAGGGTGTTCACCATTAGAATGATTTTTAACTGTTTAATGAATCAGATTACATTGTCTGTCGGGCTCCGCTGCATCTTCTGCTGTCATTGACAGGGCGGAGATTCGGTGGATTCTGCCGGGGAAGCAGGCTTCCGGGCCGTGTGAAAGCAGGGATGGGGTGTCTGACAGAGGGAGCTCGACCCACACCCCCTTACGATCCAATCCAGCTACATGACAGCGCTGCACTGATTCTGTGTTCAGCACTAACCTCTTTGAAATCTCTCAGCCAGCAGTTAAAAAAAAGACATATGGGCACATTGTAGGCGACAATATCACTGCTTTGTCACTCATCCTATAATGCACACCGAGATAGATTGTCCAATAGAAATTAAACTCTGTCTTTTAATTTCTATTAGACAATCTATCCAGTTAAAATTGCTAACACTTGTTAGCATTAGGGAATTGTGGCGATTTTCATGTGATTATTACACATCATGAAGGTTTTACGAGGGGTTGCCAGTTGTCACGTATCTGGCGTGACACTCACGCTTTCAGACATGCAAGAAATCTTACGGCAAATCTACAGTAATCAATTACAAACATAAAATTAGCTACATCAAAAGTGTTGGGGTAGTTTGAAAACCCTAGACTATTTTTCAATGTAATAAAACTCTTAGATACATGCAAATGTGTGTGCATTCGTGCATTCTTGAATAAAAAATCTCACGCCAGCCAGCTGACCAAAGTAGGCAACCCTGTTTACAGTCTTTACTTTTAAAACAAAGTTTTTTACTTCTAAACAAAGGCTTTAGGGTAGGTCATTACTTGTTTCCAGTCTGTATTACGATTTTGTGCTTTGGTGGTGCTCACTTAGCTTGCCTTTTTGACATTGAACAGAATCTCTCCTCTTTGAATATGCCTTCCATTCTCAGACCACCGTCTCCCATGATTTCGCTCCTACATCTGGTTCGCTCGTTCTCAGAGCGCTGTGGATTCCAGACTTGGCCCCTGTCCAGGCAAATCCTAACGCTGCACCTTACTATGATTGAGCAGCTCATGGAAGACAGCCTAAAATATCAATGAGCTGAAGCAGTGCTATTTGTGCCAAAACACCCCCAGGCTCATAAATGGGATTAATGAACAGGTACAGGAAGACGCTGATGTTATATGTGTTATGTGATCAGTCATTAACTGGTGCCAGGTTGGGTGGCCAGTTACCTCATAAAAATGTTTTGAATGTTTAATTAATTATTAGGGCTTAGATGAGAGGCCAATTTAGGTCAAAACAAGGCAGGAAAAAGAAGAGAAATGGTTTTTGTTCTCTTGCACTTCAGTTGGATGGATGGATGGATGGACTTCAGTGTAATACATAACTCAGAAACTTAACCAGGATAAGTGATACTAACCAGGATAAGTGATACTAACCAGGATAAGTGGTCAGTGGAATGGATGGATGGAAATGTAGTTAATGTATCATTTTTTTAGTTCTGTGGTTAAAAGCTAGAGATTCGATACATACACAAACCATGAAATCAAACTGTAATTTCATGGACCATTGTGTAAAAGTAAACTGCACAGATACGGTGTTTGTATTACTTATGCAATATTTACTGTTGTGGATTGTGTTTTCTAGGGAGACAATTTGTCATTTATGTATAAGGCTTTCCAATCGCACCAACAAATTACAATTTAAGAGTGTAAATATTCTTTGGTGAGATCTTACACTAGCTAATGACCTCCTTAGGGGTTTGCACCGTGGAAACGGCGTTAAGGACTGAATCGGTTCGAGTTGTACGTATTCGTATTAATAAGACGCCAGCTAACGAAAGGCTGTAGTATTATGGGCTGTCCTAATGCACCTATCCCTCAGCAGTGTTAACGCCATATATACACAGAATGAAACTTCATAAACCACAGTCTCTTCCCCTTATAAAATGCATCGTCACATGCAAAAATAAAAATTAACAAGGAGGAGACTTCAGATGCTTTACCAAGCGATTAAATCGCTCCTGTGAGCACAGAGCCCATTAAACAGAAAGGAGCTACTGAGGACTTGTCAGCTTATCCTCATTCAGCAGTTCCAGTGGCAGGAACAGCTTGCCAAGTCCTTACTTGTCCAATGACACACAAAATTAATTCAGATATTAATTTCTTCTTTTTTTGCACCGGGAAACCCTATCCAATACTGCTCGAATGAGAACTGTGCAATATTACAAAGAAATTTCAAAGCTCCTTTTCAAGAGGCCTCTGGAAGTTCTACCAACAGAGCACTACTGGTCACCAGGAACCCAACCCAGGACCCAACCCACGTTCTGTGGCACGGAAATGTTATGGTGTGCATTCTTCCTGGCGGACTGCATCCACGACCATCAGACGGCCGCCAAGCCAGACACCACACCCCCCCCCCCAACTTCCTACTGAACCCTTTATTCTCACAGCTGAGGTTACGCTCATCCTCTATAAACATCCTCCTTTAGCGTGATTTGCAGAGAGCCGAACCTCCAAAGTGCGGGCTTTTATTTTGAAATAGAGGACACCAAACAGCTTTTGGTGCTTTTAATTTGTTCTCATTGCATCGAGGGGGTGTTTGTAAGTGGGGCAGTCAGGATCCTGTGAGGTGAGACAGCTCTGAAAGTGGCGACAGTAAAACTCATTCTGAGACTAGAACTGAAACCAGTGATTTCCCCCCCCCCATGGCAAACCTGGTTTTCTACATTCCTTCTGCTCAGAACAAACGGAAAATCACATCTTTCATCTGGCACATATCTTTCTGAAGCAATTGTAATTTTTACAGGAAAGCCAGTCCTTTTTTTACACTAATTATAAACCAGAACAGATGCCTACAATTCCATTTGGATTCAATGGCTGTGTATAACATTCACGTTTCCTTCACTTCCTGTAGTCTAAAAATATATTTTCCTTTCAAAATTCAGCAGTAGCACGTGTTCAGAAAAAAAAAATCCTGACACTTTTGCTCACAGTGTATATAAATCCACAATAAACTGGGTTTATTTACAAAACGGTAACATTTCCCAGCAGAGTCTGTTTTGAAACAGAGGAAGCAATTCAGTTTTATAAGTTAGAAAAATGAGTCTAACCAACTAAGGAAATAATGGCCAGTTTGGGAAGTTTGAGGAGTTTTAACAAATTTTTGTTGTGTGCTGGCAGGTGCAGACCAGGAGAAATCAAAGAAAGGCAATTTGATAAAGAATGTGGTGCATCTTCTAGTCTAAAATGTACTTTCTGGATAAGGAGTTACAGAGCAGTCAGAGTGACCCAGATGGTGTGGTCAATAGGATCAGGGAAAACATGGTAGACATCTGGTCCACGGTCACTAAGTGAGAGGCGTAACCACGGCAGTCGATGATGTCTCAGGACGCCAGACTCACCCTCGAAGCGGAGCCACAGCAGCCGGCCAGTCACGCGGGTGATGGAGGCCACGCAGATCTGAGAAGGCTTCAGGTGGTTCACAGCCTCCAGCCACATGCCCTTAGAGAAGCCTCTGGGCTTAGCCTGATGTGGAGATACGGCCATTATGCCGGGGACAGCAGGTCACATGCTACTCAACAAATACCAGGGCTCTGGAACCATCTGTACTGGGGCTGTTACTTTCCTAACCAGTGTTTCCCAACCCGGTCCTTGGGGACCCTCAGATACTCTGTGTTTTTGCTCCCGGGAGCTAGAAGGGAGCAAAAATGTGGACCGTGGGCAGAACACTGCCTTAAACAAGTGGCCATAAACTATAAAACTGCAAGCTGCACACTGGAAGTTCTCAACTGACATAATAATCTGCTGCACCAACCCTGAAGGAAAGTCAAATTCAAGGCACCTTATAACAAAAACCACACAAGCAAAAAAAAACTAATGATATTTACTAAAGAATACATAAAAAAATAAATTACTGTATTTTCAGTGTGGATTTACCACAGACATGTCCCCTAACTGCATAAGGACTTCCAAAACTCTGCGTATTTCTGCATATCTTGGACATTTTTTGCGTAAATCTGGGTTTATGTAATTGGATTTTATGCTAGCTCGAGCGCTACCTGTACATTGTCTTGGTTTAAACCAGCGCCCCTGGCAACAGCAGTCCGTTTAACAATGACCGATGCACCTTTACTTCCAGGCCGAACGCAAATAAATTTTGGGAACATTCCCACAATGCCGAGAGGTCGTGTGAATGGGATTTGGGGGCTCTTACTTCAGGAAAACAAGAGTCGGAGGCGGCCTCAGTGCCACTCTGCTTCAGGTAGTCGGCCCAGTCGAAATCCTGCCCGGGGTAGCCTGGGGGTGAGCGATACAATCACAGAAACAGGCATGAAAGAGCCGCCTATCAGTCAAGGTTTCCACAGAAGCATGCAGACACGGAGCACTTCATTTATATATGACACGGTCTGTAACACCTGCTGGATCATAGATCCAGCATATCCAGTGCTGACCGCAAAAAACCCAGAGCACCCCACAGAATTCTCCTAATTAATCTCAGTCTTAATTAGCTCGCACTTATTCAGCTGAAAGATGCTGTTAAAAGAATCCCCGATTCTGACAGAAAGATCTCTGCAAAAGCACCAGGTGGTTTTTGGAAGTACCTCATGAAAAATGGATAAATGTACCTCAGGAAACCAAGACAGAGAAGAAAAAAACACCCCACCCTCAGTGGAAAAAAAAAAAAAGATTTCAAAGACAATTTCACATTTGTTTTGTGACGAGCGCTTAACGTTATTTGCAGCTGATCTGATACTTCCTGCGAAATAATCACTGGTAAGCTGGAAGTGGCTGGAAACGCACCTCTGGGCTTTTCCAGCGATACCCCGTTCTTAAGGCACCACTGTGTGGGCAGGATTCCTGGAGACTGGGCGTGGCATACCACCGAGAGGGGCGTGGCCTCGGCAGTGAGGTCATCCTCCATTACCTTGAAGTAGTACTCATTGTATACCTGCACGTGGGGGAAACACACGCACAGTCAAGAGGCTGTTCACACAACAGATGTGAGGAATGATGCTGAGAGATAAAACCAGACCACTTATGCACCCAGTTCAAGTCTCTAGCATGTTGCAATCATTTGGCAACAACACTGAATTCATATTTATGAATGCGATTTCCATGAATACTTGTATTCTCTTAGGGTTTTTTGTATGAAAGGCTGCCAGTGACCTTTACGTGCAGAGAGGGCACTGAGGTCTACATAAAAGGGTGGGGTGAGGAAGGACTCCATCTAGACATGGATAGTGGAAGCCTGGGGTGAATCGCTAATAGCTCCCTGAGAAGGAACCCAAAGCCAGACAAAATTTTGAAGAAATCAGGGCAATGGAGGGACAGACCGAGGACGCAAGCAGTCACCGTGTTGTCATAAGCAGTGACGTGATAGGCAGTGACTTCTGTGACGTCTGTCACACCACAACAAATCAAGCAGGAAATCGGAAAGACATGCAGACCGAAGCCGCCAGGAACACGTGGAATCCAACAGAGCTGAAGTAGAGGCAAGAAGATCACAGGTCCAGCTTCAGCCTCCCTCCAGACCACCAGGAACCTCTTGACGGCTTGGATGTGGCTCTCAGATTCACACCACTGAGGCCCTACCTGCCTCCTACCACTACCTCCATGGCACCACACAGGAGAGCTGAACCACACAGCGATCGACCGGCAGTCCACAGGCCTCTGACAGGCCCAGGATGCTGCTCTACACCGTGGACAAATTCAGGTGCTCGTTTCACAAATTTATCGCCGCTCGCCGGCACGGCCACTTTTTCAGTGCTGTTGCTTTGCTACAGACTGTCGATCGTAAATAGCAAATGGTGCGACCTAGATGTGCACCGCCTGGCATACGACAGAGCCCGATCCGCTGGCTCTGGTAGGCGCTGGAGAGATTTCCTCAGCTGCAGAACTGAGACCCTGCGCCCAACGCTGACAATATGGGCTGCCTCTCCTCTTCAGTTGTGAAATCTTCCTCAAATATTGCATCCGCAAAGCCTCCCTATCCATAATAGAACGTTCTGCAAGGTCTGAGCCGGCTCCACCATACTCTGAAACCGCTTCTTCTGCAAGGTTGTCAGAACCCTCAGCACCTTGCTGTCCCCTCCCCTCCCGCCCAAGCCCTAAGAGGACCTGGACCCCCCACTCCCACTGCCACTCTCCTTACTGCACCCAATTGCTGCAGGGCTGCTATAAGCTGCTTTATTTACTTGCTCATTCAGCATTTGATTGTTTCTACTCCGCATATCCTTTGGTCTGTTGTTTGTATTTAAAAATCCAGTGAAGATATCACTGCTGCATTAAACCCTATGTTCCTTACACTACAAATAATCTGCAGTCTTGAGTTCCAGCTCATGTCTTGGGCTTGACTCAGAGATGTTCACGAGTCACAAAATTAGAGTCCGAATCAAGCCTCAAATCTCTGACTTAGAGTCCGAATCAAGCCTCAAATCTCTGACTTAGAGTCCGATTTGACATTACTATTTATCAAAGACTTAACTGCCTATCTGATTTTTTCTATTAGTATCTGATGTGACTAAATGGGAATCTCCTCTTGAACAGTTCAAAAACATGTCTCATAGTTCCTTAGGCTTATGTACTTTTTCAATGTAATTCCTGTTTCAAATGGCTTTCAAGCAATATGTTTTTTGTAAGAACTACGTACTTTTCTAATGTAGATTTTAAAACGAATACTTTCTCAAAAATAACATTATGATGAAGACATCCCTTGCAGGAAATTTTGCCATAAATTCCTTAGTTGGACTGTACGTATATATGCGCAAATTACTGTGCTGACAGCACGTCAGACTGGCCCTGCTCTGGAGCCAGACCAAACCATGCCAAACTCCACCCCCAACCACATTAAAGTCATGTGATTGGCTAATGAATGAGTATAACCCAGACCCCGCTTGTCATGGTGCTAAAGTAACTGCATGTTAAAGCAAATCGCGATTTAGATTTTTACACATCGTTCTAAAGCAAAAACTACAGTTAATGAATAAAGTCGATTTGTCTCTCAGCTCGTGTGTGCAATTAAAAAAACGATTATGCAAGTAACAATGCGGACTGCATGCTAAAAAATTAAAGTAATGTTGCAGCCCTGCTGCTCTTTTAGTTACGGGAGAGCGGTCAGTGATACTACTGTTCAATCAAATTGTTTGCTGGAATTATGTTTTTACTTTATTAAAAACCATTAAATTTGAATGCGTGACAGAACTCAGAATAATTTAAAAGACATAACATTGCACGCCGTATGCGGGGCATAATGAAGAGTTGTAAGAAAATACAGCTTGACTTGACTTGGAAGGCTACAGTATGTTAGAAATGGAAAGGTGTTTTTGGGACATATCTGCTAAATTATCGTATTTATGGCAAATAAGGCTGAACGATTTGAGGTAAATATCTAGTTGCCATTTTTCAACAAGTTGAACAAACTTCAGCTTAGCGTTTCATGTAACTGTTGACAAGACTTGTATACATGTATATTGTGCGTAGATTGTAAAACAAGAGTTAACTATAACTTTACCATACATCTAAGATTCCATGTACACAAATGCCCATTTGGTTAATATTCATAAGAGCATCATTAATATTCATGAGCAGCGCTACCCTGATTGGTTGGTGAACATGAGAACTCATTCATATTCAGATCCTGGACATGTCCTCTTTTTTGTCTCACCAAATATGGTAACCCTGTGCTTGGCACCATGTGTAACTCCATGTACATAAACCTCCTTTTCATCTCTATGTTGGCTCTGGGGGGGGGGGGGGGGCATTATTTCACAATGCTGTATAGCTCTGTTTAGGCTCCACACAGCACATAGACCGACTCAGGCACAGAAACTCTGTCCTTTCTGCTCTTCTCCAGGAAGAGCTTAAACAATAACAGGTATAGAGCAGTTTTGAAGAAAAACACTTGATGAGACAAACAACCTTTTCACAGCGGCAATTAACGAACGGGGACAAGGAACGGTCAAGTTGGGCCTAGTCTTTCGAAAGCCAGAGACTCTTAAAGAAATAAACATAATTGGCGATATACCTATAGAAGGAACTCTGTCTTCCATTAAAGCACTTTAACTAATTAAGGATCCGTTAGTTTCAACCCCATCTCAGGAAACGAGTCTTCATGTTTCCGTCGTTGTGCGTATCAGAGCGTACCGAGGATGGCTCGATTCCCAGAGTTTCCGTTAAAGGTTCTGCGAAGGTGCTGCTCCAGTTCCAAGACTAGAACCCGGAGCAGGAACGGCCTTTAACCAGGCAGCTGCACCCCATGAAAGACAGAGCAGATCCTGGCGGAGGAGCATCCTGTCACCGTTTGGACAGTTTCATCCTCCTGAACGAGGCTTCGTTCAGTAGATGTCAGACAGCACCGTCTGAGGATCACAAGTCCCACCTTCAGTAGAGATGTGTACTGCAGTACCAGAGCCGTCACTCTGAAACGCCTTCAGTTCACAGCACTTTATCTTCCGTTTTCACATGGCTGTTGGTTTATCATTAAAAATAATAACGCGAGATCGGCTACAGCTTGATGATTAGTTATAACAGTGATCATTTTTTAAGATAATTTATTTCTTTTTTAACTGATTTGGACATTTTGTGGTAAGGCTAATCAAACATTTCAGCTAGGCTTTCACAAATTTGTTAATGTATAACATTGCAACTAGGCTTTCACAAATTCTTTAACGTATTTTTTGAGATTGAGTAAATCATTCATAAAAAAGTCGGTTTGTGTTGCTTTTCAGCTCTTTTTATTCTATTAAATTATTGCACTACGTTTGTAGTCCTGTTTCAGACACGTACGGTAACCCCTTCACTTTCGCCATTTGTGGTTTTGGTTATTCACAAGTTGCCTGTTAATGATTAAATGGGAATATTTCTGGAGTTTGCTGAAAGATCGCAGAGACTCACCGATGATGCGTAAGCCAAAAACAATAATGAAATTGAATCACATCACATAAATTCACTTAATATATAAATATTAGTGATACATAATATTTGTTAGTCCAAGTGCATATTATAGAGTTATTATGAAAAGTCTTGGCCTGGACCTCCATTCATTGTCTTGGCAACCAACCCTACGCTGACATTAGTTGTTTTTGTAACTATAGAATCTTGCATATCACGCAGTAACTTTTACATTTATCAGTGCTGTTAATTTTGCATTTTTAATAATGGGTCCTGCCCTGCGATGGGTTGGCCCCCCATCCTGGGTTGTTCCCCCGCCATGTCCCTGAAGCCTCTGGGATAGGCTCCGGACCCCCCGCGACCCTGAATAGGACGAGCGGTTACAGGAAATGGATGAATAACAGATGCAAAACACAGTGCTTCTAGGGGACCTTCCACCCCTAACCCTCACAATTGTGGAGGGGTTACTGTATATTCATTTCTTTGTTCCCATACATATTAAAAATTCATGTATTTAACACAAATTTCTAAGTTTTTACCCTTAGAGAAACTAACACGTGCCCTGCATCAAAATTCAGAAAAGTTGTCAAATTCATTTTTTTGTCTTTTCTAATCCTCCTTTACACACTCTACCCAGAATGCCCGGTTTCTATTTCTCTGAACCTGATATTAAAAATCAAATTAAAGAATTAAAAATTAAAAAGGTGAGAAATCATGGAAGCACTGATGAAAACTGGCTGAGCAGATGGCGAGAGTACTTTATGCTAAAAGTAAGAATTGTGAGTGTTAAGAAGAGCAAACTGAAGATGCACGGTGTCAGCCTGGGGCGAGGA